GGTCATTGTTATGAATTGGACAGCTAATTTTTCTCATCCATCCCAACAATCTATTATGTCTGTAGGAAAGTTTCAATTTATCACATTTTTTTAAAAACCTACTTAATTTTCTTCATTTGTAATCTGCATATTTTGAGCATGCAATATTTTCATGTTTAACATGCTTAGTTTATTTACAATAAGACTCATGGTAGGTATTCTATCAACATATACCTGCATAAAATTTAAAAGTATTATCTTAACTTCTTTATGTACTTAGAATATTATCCTTGGTAAAGAAATCAGCAAAATCACTAAAGAAAACATCCTAGCATTTTCTTGTTTGCTATAATTTCAGGCTCTAACATCAGCTATAACTACTAGAATATAGCTTTTTTAAAAGTCATGTTTTGCCATAAAACTTAGGCTCTCTGCATAGCCATTTCCAATGCCTTAAATGACAAGATGTGGTCATAGCTAAGACTTGAAAATGCAGTCACAACTGGCAACACCTCAGGAGAACAGTTTCTGTGACAGTTAAAAGTTCAAAGCACAAAACGAAATAATTTCATTCAGAGACCCATACTTATGAAAGCTTCCCATAAAGGGGTGGCTTACTCATTAATATATGCACAGAGCAAAAGAATATCCTTTGCACTTACTGCACAAAATGATGAATGCTTAGCCCTTACTATATAGATGGGTCATAAAATAAAAAATACTGCTGTCCTACTTAAGGTACTTGCAACATTAGTACATGGATGCTGCTATAAGAGTATTTTCAGAAAATAAAGAAATGAATGCCCAGAGACTCTTTTATCACGGATACAGAATGTAATCCATTCCATAATACACTATGACATTTAGTGGTATAAGAATCAATATAAATGTATGAAAATGAGCATTTTCCTGAATTTTATGGTTATTTTTGTTTTTTTTAACATCTGATGATATACATGTGTTTTAAACTTCCACAGGTAAAGAAAATCTCACATATGCCCAACACAAAATATTGTAAAAAGAAGTACATTTCTTCCAATTTAGAGATACTGGAAAAAGAACAAATGTTACTAACCCAATAAAGTAGCCATAATAAACGCTAAAACAAACAAAACAAAAAAATGGTATGTGAAATTGACTACATCCTTTAACTTTAGGAATCAAACAGAAAAACGACATGCCTCTTTCTAGAAAGATCCATTGTATGGGACAAAACTGTACTATGTGAATGGAAACACAAACATGCCCTGTGGTACAAAGCCAAGCCAAAGAGCTGGCAAAAAAAATTTCCTCTGACAACACAAAGTTGGTTTTTAATCTTTAGGTACAGGCCTTTGGGTGGGGAGGAGAAATGCATGTCTCAACGGTGACCTCTAGTGGAAAAGTCCTAAAATTGTCCAAAAGAAATTCAAAGAATAAAAACATGCAGAAAAACATTTACAAAGTACTCAAACCAACACCATAAAACCTAGAAATCAGGTTAAAGAGCAGACTGAAAAACCACTCAAAGCTAACAATGACAAAAAGGACCACCAAGGCAAAGAAGAGTAGAGCAAAGGGACACAGGAAGACAACCTCCAGAATGACTGCAAAGTCTCCTTCTTACAGTGACAGTGAGCCAGGAGGCCCTTGAATACACCATCTCAGGCTGCTTGGGCTTAGCACAGCTTGTCACCGTTCATCAATGGGTAATCAATCCATGTACTGACTGGTATTAACTGAGTGCCTATTTCATGCTCAACATACTTTTGTCGGGGTGGCATATAAAACGAGTAGAAGACAGAATTCCCAACCTCAAAACTTTGAAATACTTGTGTGAGGAAATGAGTAAATAATTTGGAAACTGAAATATATAAAACTAATTTTGAGTGAAAGAGGTATAGACCCAGCCACCAAAGAAACCCAGACCTAAAAGGAAATAAAGTCAGTAGGAACAAAACCAAGTCTAGGAAGAAAAAAGCACTCCACGTGGGTCCTGATTCCAGCTTCCCCCAGCTGTGAGTGCTTCAGGTACCCTAAATCCCATCCCAGCACACCATCCCTCAACTATGAAAGGAGCCCTGTGATTGCAGAGGCAAGGCAGACATCAGTTTCTAGGATATGAAGATGTTTCTTTAGGGGCTCTCAATCCAGTACATTTGAAATGAGCACACGAGCAGTAAGACATATGTCTGACAGCCAGGTCCACTTGAGTCCTTACACCAGTTAACCCCCAAGAAAATACCTGGTGCTGAGAGTCCCCATTTCATTCAGGCCTGTTTCCTCTCTGGCCTTCCCTTGTCACCTTTCTGCTTCCTTCAAGCAATTGTTATATGTTTACACAGGTAATGACTGAGAAGCCACTATGTGCTCAGCAACAGGCATTAAACCAGATTAAGGAATGGTCCCTGCTTAAAAAAAAAAAAAAAAAAGTTTAAAATGAAACTGAGAGTATGGTTCAGTGGTACAGAGCTTGCTAGCATGCAACAAAGCCCTGGGTTCAATCCTCAGCAACAGGGAGTGGGGGGGAGGGGGAGAACTTATTTAAAAAGAAAGAAAGTCAGAAACTCAGATCTACATAAAGAAAGGAAGAACAGTGAAGAAAGAATATTTAAGGTAAAATAGAAACTTGAAAATAAAATTTCTGTTCAAAAAATCTTGAGGAATCAATCTCAATCATACAGCCCATCCTCAGCTTCCACACAGCCTCCAGTGTACCACCCTAAGTGGATCTTTGATGCCCCTGTGGATATTAACTCAAGTAAGTGGAGTCAAATGGTGTGTCCCCAAATAAGATCCCAGTCTGACTAAGCTCCTCATTCATTCCATAATCATGCAAGTGGAAATGTCAGGGAGCAGGGTAATTGGCATAACAAGAGAAAAACACAAATACTTCAGCAAGACAAAAGTGGGTGCTGAGGGGTTTATCTTTTCAGTCCCAGTGGTTTTAATGTAGTGTTGTCAGCCAGTACCTATTAAAAACATGGGAAGTGAAAGACACTGATTAGAATAAAAAGTGACAGGAGGGTGTGCTCAGCCACTTACATTTAATGCATATTTATATTTCCATCAAATGGACATATTTACTATAAACACTGGAAAAATCATAGCAAAGTCACTCATTTAAATGCCAGAAAAATAGTAAAAGATGCTAATTTGACCTTAGTGGAACAGATCGGGTGTCACTGACATGGCTTGAAACAGCATTTACCAAGACAATTAATTAGTGTTTTCTGGATTAGGTCGAGTGTCTCAAATGGAGAGAAAAAAATAAAAACAAAACAAAACCAAAAAAAAAAAAAAAAGAGAGAGAAAAAAAACAGGGAGGGAGGAAGAAAGAAATATGGAGTTTGGATTCTTTCACCACCAACCTCTTTAACAGCAAACACAATTTAACTCGTTGTTTATGTCTCTCCAAATTCATCTAATGTTATATGCTTGGAGAAAGAAGCTGATCTATTGATTCCTCAGATTTCTATCTTTGCAGGCATGTAAAAAGAAATAAATGACAGCTATTCAAAAAACAAAAATTTTAAAAACTAGATCAATGAATGATGTAATTGGAATAAAGCAGGCTTTGCTTTCATGCTGAAGTGCAAGCTGGTTTGCTATAATAAAGACACAGAAAATCTAACAATGGTAAGCTTAGCAATTCAGCAATACTTTTATGAACTATGCAATGGAGAGGGTCAAGAGTTTCTGCTTGTAAAGTTTTGGGAAATTTAGACATTGTGTAGTCCATCCTTCAAAGCAAAACCATCAATTCCCTGGGAACTGGAATTAGCTTCTTTGTGGACAGCAGGGCCAGTGCCTACAAAAACAGTGGAACTAGCAATATATTACCTGTTAGAACAATGATCACACATGACTTAACAGGTCTCACTTCCAGTATCTGTGGTCACTGCTACTTAAAAGTGCCAATTGTGCCACTCTGCCTTTGCCTTGCAAATATGCACTTTGGCTAAAAATGAGCTAATTTGCCTGTTTCCAGCACCCGAGGGGCCCTCCTTCACTGCCATTCTTAATTCTCAATAATCAACAGCTCCATGACATTGCTTTGAGCTGTATATAATGCACACACATACATAAATTTACAATACAAATCCCTCAAACATGACACTCTGCTTGATTTCATTGGACTCAGAAAGCTCCCTAACAAATTCTTGCCACATGAGTAGAAAATCATTCAAGTCTGCAGGAAATATGGCAAGCACAAAGAAGTGACAGTCAATTAGGAATGAGAAAGGAGTAGGTCCCTGTCATTAAATTCTTTAAAGCCTGAGCACTAAGAAAAAAATGTCCCATCATTCACATACGGTATTCTTATTAAAACAGATATTAACTCTATTGCATGTTAACCATACCAAACACTACTGATGTCCAAGGAATTTTTTTGAGGGGGTGGAGTGGACCAGTCTCAAAAATATGAAACGTACAGTGGCTAATATATACAATTTATATAATTTTGTGGGGTTTTCTTCCCCCCATCAGACAGGGAAGAAAAGCAGTCAAATCTTCCCCTTTAGAGGATGAGATACAGAACTCTTAAGATATTTTTATTTTTGTTTTGCTTTGTTGTTTTGTTTTTGCGATGGAGGTTTCACTATACTGCCCACGCTGGTCTCAAAGGCTCAAGTGGTCCTCTTACCTCAGTCTTCCAAGTAGCTAAGACTACAGATGCATGCCACCATACCCAGCTCAGTATTTTTTGATAAGTAAGTTTTCATTATGAAATGCTATCCAATGAGGCCAGGCAGTTTCAGTCTACACAGCATTTACTATCTCTAAATGGAATCATTTAGAAACAAAGAGTATCATTTTCTCGTTTATACACGATAGGAAAGAATTCTCAAAGTAGAGCCAAGCACAAAACCCAGGAAGAGAATAGGCTCATATATCTTAGTTGTCACCTTAATAAACTTTAAGTTTTCCCCCAAATAATCATTTGTCATTAGTGTCTTTAAAGAAAACAACAGAATCTGTAGTACCATAGCATTACCTAAAAGTAACAAGAATTATAACAAAGCAGAAAGTTAACTTACTTGTGAGCTTGTTGTGGCTGAGGACCAGTTGTGTGATATGAGCTAGGGAGACTGTAAAAAGAAAGAAAGAAAAAATCACAGTCAGGAATGTATCCAAATTACACTTATGCCCCTACCAGGTAAACCGCTAAATTATTTTCACAGGTTGAAGTGGTACTGCTCAAAACAGAAGATAGGATTCATATAACACTCTGCTAAATGTTAAACCAAATGAACAAGGAGTCATGCAATTAATAGTGCAATTAGCACACCAAGTTAGAACTAATGAGATTAATGTCACAGGATCAAACATTACAAGGGCCAGTTAGCTTTGCTAGGCAACCTGGTCAGCTGGCCTAACCTTGGCCATCCATCTCAATAACGTGCCACTCAGAAGAACCAGCCAAGAGTACACAGAGGCACAAAGGCCTTGCCTATGCTTAAAAACATCACAACAAAACAGGAACATCATCTCACAGAAGGCTGGCATCGTGTTACTTGATCTATGTCTATCATCCATCCAGAAGTTCTTCTACACACTATCAGATGATCAGAGTAAAACCCCTCCATAATTTCCTCTAAACATATTTTTTTGACACTTCACAGCACCAATGTGAAATGCAGATTGCTTGCCAGCTTCAAACATTATTATGGAGGTTTAATCTGCAATAAGATTAGATTTGCTAAGGATGGTTTGTCTAACTATAAAGGAAGAAAATATACACAGACCCACAAAAATTGAAAAAAAAAAAAAAAGAGAGAGGGAAAAAGAAAATGACCTGTGTTCCACTTTGGGTTTGGAAACTTTTCTCAGTGTCCAGCATTATATATAGATAAAAAGATTTAGAATTTTTCCAATATTCCTTCTATAAGAATATTCCTTTTAATGCAGTACAAATAGTTCCTTAAATGGATGATAAGACAAATTTTTTTGCAAGGGCCTACTGAATATGCATCACTCCTGACCATAACCTGCACATTTTGTTTGGCTTTTTTATACCATTCCAGTCAGAGAAGAGTTCAACTTACAATACAGAAGACCTCTTTTCCTAGCCCGAACCATGGAACTGCTGGCCTGATGCCCTATAAACCTTAGTGTATGCTTCCCGCAAACACAAACAGTCTCCTATAGAATCACAATACAACCATAAAAACCAGAAGGTTAACCACCTCCATTCTTTACACGCATGTGTGAAATATCATGGGGAAACCCCTTTGAACAGTATACACTTAAAAAAATGAAGGTCAGGTCTTGTTTCTGGATGTGTACTAGTCAAAGTGGGGGAAGGAGGATGAATATGGTGGATGTACTTTGTATATTGTGTGAAAGTACAACAATGAGATCTGTTGACACTGTTTTAAGAGGGAAGGGGGATAAGGGAGATTGATGGAGATGCTGAATCTAATCAAGGTCATTGAAAGCACAGATGTAAATGTCACAATGAATCCCCCTGCACAACTAACATACCCTAATAAAAATGTAAAACAAACAAACAAAAGGTTAACATGATAGATTATGGCCATATAATCCCGAGTACCTATCCAATCACAAAAAGAAAAGAACAAGTTCAGAATCCACGTTGTATTGCATGGAATTGTCAGATCTCATTAGTTCTCTTTAGTCTCCAAGGTTCTCTTTCCTTGGCTTTCATGACCTTGGACACTATGAAAACTACAAACCAAATTGTTTTGTATCATGTCCTTGCTATGGTTTGGATAAGTAGTCCCCAAAAGTCCATATGGAAAGGTTTGGTCCCCAGGGTAGTGGTACTAAGAGGTACTATGGAACTTTAAGAGGTAGGGCCCTATGGGATGTCCTGAGGTCACTGTGGGTGTGCTCTGGAAGGGGACTATGGGACATGATCTCCTCCCCTATCCTCTTCTCTCTCTCTCTCTCTCTTTCTGCTTCCTGGCTTAAGATGTGCACACTCACTTGGGCTCACATTTGCACTACAGGATGTGCCCACCTTGGACTTGATCCTCCAGAACCATAAGCCAAAATAAACCTTTCTTTTTACTTTGTAAATGGCCCATGTCAGGTATTTCACTGCAGTAATGCAAAGCAGTTAATACAGCCCCTTTATGTGGTCTTGCCGTTTATTGATCTTGATGATGTTCCGCTGACGCACTTTTGGTGGGGGCATGGCAGAAATGCGGTGTTCTCATTGACTCCTATCCAATGGTGCTGGGCTTCAATCTATGCCATTACTTCCCCATGCTGATTTCTTCTTCTTTCTTTGTGACTAATAAATATTTTGGGGGGAGCAAAATGAGTACTTTGCAACCATACCAATATCCTGTTCCCACCAAACTGAATTTATTCATGTATTTCATGGTCCACAACTGGGGCACATTTCCCCCATGAAACACATATGGCAATGTCTGGAAACATTTTTTTTATTGTAACATCAGTGACTGCTAGAAAATCTAAACTTTTCTATGTAGTCTGCATTATATTTCTATTGGATGACCAGTGGTCTAAACCACTGATCCAGCAGTAGAGGCCAAGGATGCAAATAAACATCCTTCCACAACACACAAGACAGACCAGCCCAGGACAAAGAATTATCCAATCTAAAATGGCAACAGCACTGCTGTTAAGAAATCCTATTTTTTCCTATTTCAGTCCAGGGATAATAATCTCTTAATATTTATATTGATGCTCAGATTGTGTTTGCTAGCCTAGTGGGAGTCCATACAACCTATCCGCCATTCTTTAGGCACATCCTTGCTCTCTCACATAAGATACTCAGGCTGTCTTATACATTTTCTATACAGCCCTGGAATCAGTAATTTCTCCAATAAGCTCTGAGAACTTTTTTGTGAGAGATGGTATTTATCAGTCAAAATCTGGGGACAAGTTGTGCTCATTTTTATTAGGGAGGCATGGTGGCCAGTACTCTTAGTCCTTCTCACAGTGAATAGAGCTAGAGAATACATCAAACACACACACACACATACACATACACACCTTACATCTGTATTGATTTCACTACCCATTTACATTATTAAAAACCATGACTTTACTCCAACATATCCAATTGTGATATATCAAAGGACTCTTTCTAGTTTATCCTAAAATATCCAATTCTGATATATCACAGGACTCATTCTAGTTTTCTCCCTTTCTACATTTGTAATTCCCTTTTCTGACAGTGAGAACTCTGATTTCTACCATCCTTAACCTATTTACTCATTGAATCAAAATCTCTCTACATAAATGAATAAAATGGCCATCTCCAGGTCCCCTTGGGAGTCTGGTATTGATTGCTAATATGAGAGGGACTAGCTTAAAGTTGTTAACACCTCTGGGGAACCCAGGACTAACTTGCTTACACTGTCCAGGGCTGTGTAGACCCTTACCCCACATCTGGCTCTAGGATCTAGGTTGACCACATGACCAGGCAAGCAGAACTATGCTGCTGGACATTTTTGCCCAGGTTCTGCTGGAACCAAGATTCTTTGCACATCTTGATGGTTCCTAACTAGAGACATAACAGGTCCTACACACCTATGAAGTCACTCCAGGGGAGCTGTACTAGAAGCCTCTGTGCACCATGCCTGCCAATACTTTCTGTCTCCTATTTTGCCATATCCTGTGTCTTCATTAAGTCCTAATGAGAGTGGACTGTGGGGAATCTTGTGAGTGACCAGATACGTGCATCCTTCCTGCCAAAACACCCTCCTTACTGCCAGAACACCCTCCTCATTCTGTTCAGACACTGGATGTGGGTTGCCTGGGCTCCAACTGACTTCCCCACCCTGTAAGGAGGTTCTCATCCATTCCTCTTCTGACATTTCATTCTAGTTCACCTACTACAAATCCTTCCTTTTCTGTCCCACTTAATGGCATCAGGATGGAATTGCTAGGGAAAGGGAAGGAATGAGGTTAAGAAGAACAAGAGTTAGTTCTGTGATTTTTTTTTTAAACAAAGAATCATGATGGTGGCTTAAGATTTTAGATGCTGGAGAGAACCTCACATATTTTTATTGGCAAGAGTTAAGATTTTCTTATCCACTAAATAAAGGATCCCTCTACCTCTGAGGTATATAGTCTGACATGAAGAAAACACAAAAAGCTCAAAATTTCCCTCATACCAAACAAGATTAAACAGACTCAAAGGTGACTCAGTTAAGATTATGCTCAACTTCGTGTGAGAGAAAATGATAAATAATAGGGATCAGACTGGGATGTAGCTCAGTGGCAGAGCACATGCAAAGCATGTATAACTCCCCGGGTTGGACTTCAAGCACCACAAAAAAAAAAAAAAGTAGGGATTACACAAAGCAGCCATTTCTCTGTAATTACACAGGCTCCAGTTCAGCAATAATTCTCTATAGAAAGGAAGCATTCCCCAATGTGTGACTCCTAATTTGCATGGACTGAATGTTTGTTTCACAAAACTCATGTGTTGAAGCTCTAATCCCCAATGTGAAGATGGAACTTGGAGTTTGGGCCTTTGGGTGATGATTAGGTGACAATTAAGCCATGAGGGTGGAGATCTAAAAGGGATTAGTGGTTATGTAGGAAGAGTGATAAGAGAGATAATCTCTTTCTCTCAACCATGTGAAGACACAGAAAGAAGGTGGTCATTTGCAATCCATGAAAAGGTCCCATACCAGACACCAAATCTGCTGGCACCTTAACCTTGAGCATTCTAGCCACCAGAACTGTGAAGTTCTATTGTTTAAACCATCTAGCCCATGATATTTTGTTGTAACAACCCAAACTACTAAGACATAACTCATCATCCAAGATGAGTGCCTGGGGTCAAACATCATGCCACATTCCCCTTAGGAAGAAGGAAAGGAAAAAAAAGTTGTCTTTCTTAAAGACACTTCTCAAGAAGTTGCATAAGGGATTTCTACTTACAAGCAATTAATCAAAACTCAGTAACACAGGGATGCCTCGCTACCAGAGTATCTGGGAAATATAGTCTGTCTTCATTGTTGACCATGAACCAGCAAAATTAGGGGTTTCATTACCAAGAAATGGGGCAAAGTAGAACTAGTAGATAATTAGCAGTGTCTCATATTGGCATTGGCATGTCACACAAATCAATTCTGATTAC